TCTGGGTCCAGCTCCCTGTGGCGGTGAGCGGGTACTGCCTGAATCTCCAAAGCTCTCCAAATTGATTCAAAGAGTTTTGAATCGATTCGGACCTTTTTGTTGGTCTTCTGATTTAATTTGGATTCGGAGATTCAGCTGCCGAATGAGGCTGAATCTCCTCTGAATCAAATAAGCACCCGAAGCTGTGCACAACCCTACTGTATATATACCTGTTTGTTGCTTGAGAAGCAGTAAAATATATATTCTTGTATCTAAATTAAATCTGAGGTCATCAAATAGAGGTTAGAATTTATTTATTTATTTATTTTTTACTTTTTTGAGTTCCTGTTCTCTTTTCTGATACTGTATCCCTATCTCTCTCTTTCAAATGGCAGTTATTCAACCAAGTTATTGATGTACATGAGAATAAATGACTAGCTCTCTGCAGTGCTAACACCAATATTGTTTATATAGATATACAGTTTAATATTATGTAAATACCACAGAGCATGGTATGCATTTCTCACTGACTTTTAGGAATGGTAATCTTGAGTTTAAACCTACTCCTTCTCTGCTAAGATGTGCAAAAAATAGATGTGTGTGCAGAGAAGGAGTAGGTTTAAACTCAAGATTATCAAATGTGCACACAGATGAATGCTATCCCGTCAAAAAAAAAAAGATGTGTTAATATTAGAAATATTATTTATAAACACTGTTTCTTTGTGTGTTCTGGCACAATAAATTGTAGCATGTACTTGAAAGACTGTTATCTCTCTTTGTAGAACCAAAATCACAGTTTCAACCACAACACCAAGTACAACATAAAGTATTCAGTACTGAGCAGAATGGCATAAAAGAGAACCACCCAAGACATCTTTCTCGAAGTGATTCAAGACAACCAAGAAATGAGAAACCCCCTCGTTTTCAAAGGGACATTCAGAATTCAAGACAGGCCTTGGAAGGTAGTGGGCCCCCACGAAACAGAGGCCCTGAAAGACACAACTCCTTAGGATCAGAGCAATGGACTGAGGAGAAAAATAAATGTGATCGACCTAATCCTAGAAATGATAGACCAAAGGATCTTGCTTATCCCACAGTCACTTACCAGAGTGATTTTTCTTTTAAGAGGAGGGATAACAATATGCAAAATAGATTAGGAAAAGGTGCATTATTCACGGAACTGAAAGAGAACTCTGGTATTCAAGATACCATAAGTAACAATAATCTAAAACGAGGGAAAAGGGAAAACCAAATACACAATCCTGACAATTTTTATGACAGGAAAGCACGAACAATAAGTAATGAAACCTTCAGTTTAAAAAGTGAGCAACATTTTGGTATGAATAGTGAATACCAGAATCCTATTAGAACTGATAGTTTTAATGCTATACCAAATGGAGATACCGAACATCCTCAGAAAGGAAGACGAGTGGGACCTATTAAATCGCCAGGATCCAATGTGACTTCAACTTTTGATGATAAAATATTGTATTATAACACTGGACCCAAAAGGAGATCGGGGCCCATCAAGCCAGAAAAAATATTAGAACCATCGATTCCAGTGGAGTATGGAAAAAGCTGGAGACCAGGGGATGAATGTTTTGCTCTTTATTGGGAAGACAACAAGGTATGCCCTAATCATTTAACAAGTACTGCTGTTGCACCTTTTATTTTATTTTAGGAAAAGCCATAGCCTATAGTTAGTAACAGTAATATGCTGCCACAGTGGTAGGGGGGTGTGTGTGTGTGTGTGTGTGTGTGTGTGTGTGTGTGTGTGTGTGTGTGTATATATATATATGTATATATATAGTTTTACACTATAGTTATTAGGGCATTGCAATGTTTCGGGTGCTGACTTGATTCAGAGGAGATTCAGCCCGATTCGGTGGCCGAACCTCCTAATCGAATCAGGGGACCAATTGAAAGGTCTGAATTAATTCAAAGGTCTTCAAATCGATTCGGAAAATATTTGGAGATCTTTGCCGATTTGGGCAGTCCCCACTGACTGCAGCAGGGAGCTGGACCCAGATTCCATGCTGGTAGGTAGGGAGTGGGAGAGGGGGGCTGCAGAAGGGGGGAGGGGACCATGGGGGGACCCCTGCCAGGCTCTGTCCCCTGCCTGATCCTCCAACACTCCTGAGCACCCCCTGACCAGAGCCTGCTCTTCCAGCCCCT